ACACACACACACACACACACACACACACACACACACACATTCCATCGATAGGATGAGCAAAAACGGAACGAATCTTCCGCTGCAAAATCGGAATGAATCGTTCGTGTGTCTGTGTGTGTGTGTGTGTGTGTTTGTGTGGCTTTTCTCTTTCTCTCCCTCGACGCATTGTCGCATCGAGCAGCGTGCGCCGAGGCGCAGGGTTTGGAGACTTATCGTCTCTCTCTCTCTCTCTCTCTCTCTCTCTCTCTCTCTCTCTCTCTCTCTCTCGGCGATGCGTATCTCATCCAATCTCTCTCTCTCTCTCTCTCTCTCTCTCTCTCTCTCGTTTGCTGCACACCCGCCCGCTGTTTCCCCTCCCGCTTGTCAATTCCCCGGCCGTTTGGTTTCCCGACCCGTGTGCCGCCCACTCGGTGTTTCCCCGCCCGCTCCCGACCGCTCCTCAATTCCCCGCCCGCTCCCGACCCGTTTGTCCGCGGCGCCGTTTCGCCAGCCACTCCTAGCATGGGCCCTGGGCCCGTCTCGACTTTTCCCAACGCTGGCAACGGGTGCTCGCGTGGGACCGTCACGCGAGACCCTCTATTTGCTTTATAGTATTAGAGAAGAGAAGAGAAGAGTTGCCAAAATGTCAGACCAAGCTGGTGCAGGCATTTCTTTTTATTTTCCCAAGCCCCAAGGCCTCCAAATTATGCAAGCCTGGACAGGTGATATGGGCAAACCAAGCAATCTGCAGTCACTCTTTTTTTTTTTTTTTTTATCGGCAGGAGTGACGGGCGGTGTCCTTCGGGACATCCGTTAAAATTGGAACGATACAGAGAAGATTAGCATGGCCTCTGCGCAAGGATGGCACCGCATAAATCGAAAAATGGTCCAATTCCTTTTAATTAAGAAAAAAGGAGTGACAGGCGGTGTGCACACAGGGCAGGGAGGACGTAATCAGTGCGAGTTGACGACTCACGCTTACTAGGCAGCCACTTATTGAATCCCAAAACATCATATTTTCAAAATGCAATACATACCCGGCCCACCGTACAGCATCTTCTGCGTACACCACCGTCTTGTAACCCAGTCTCCACCCAATCAGAAGCTACGACACACGAACAGAGAAGAAAACAAACACAACCACGCATGCAAGCTCAGCCGATCGTTCCAAGGCAATCCGAGTCAAGAAAACAAATAAGGGACAGATGAACAGACAGGCAAACAGAGACAGAGACAGAGACACAGATAGAGATAGAGATAGAGATAGAGATAGAGAGACAGCGAGAGAGTTGGGTATGACTCCAGTTTAGTTGTGTTTTACACTGTCAACAGAACGACCCCTTCTCCACCCAGATTAGTAGATCCATAACTGAAATAGCCTTACCTTACATTACCTTACCTTACAGTCTTCTATTAAGTTATATATATAGTCAAACAGAGCTGCCCGGTAAACCGTTGGCAGAGAGGGAGAAGTATGAATGATATGATATCTCAAATGAATGATTGTAAACGTTTTTATAATTGTAATTTTTTATTTTTTTTTCCTACGGGACATCCATTAGAACTGGGATGATGTTCCTTCGGCCAAACGGAAGGAAGCGTGAGTTTGTGGTTTAATGTGATGTTTTTTATGACTTGCCAGTGGAATAGGAACCGGACTGACGCTCCCCAGAATAGAAGGAGCCAGGACCATAAGGCCCTGTTTTCACAAAAAAAAAAAAAAAAAAAAAAAAAAGCACTGGGATGATAAGAGAAGATTACCATGGCCCCTGCGCAAGGATGACACCCACAAAATGAGAAATGGTCCAAATTATTTATAAAAAATAAAGGAATGTTTTGATGATGCAGCTGTTTCATTGTTGTATTCTGAGAGGTGCAAGGTCCACCACGTCTGGGTATTTTAGCGTGGAATGCGTACACAGTACTACAAGCCCGTTTGCTGTGAGTGTGTGCAAGAGACAGACAAACAAATCAATGAGTAGATGGCCCAACCAATGTGCTGATCCACCGACAGACAGATGGATGTACCAACGCGTAGCGGATGGACCGACTGATGGATGGACGAACGGACCACCCAAGGGAGAGACAGACAGATGACCCGACAGACGAAGAGGCAGGGGGGGGGGAGGTATGGTGGGCGAGGGGGGGGCTATTGTGGGGGAGAGAGGGGGGAGGGGAGGGGGTATGGGGACGTGGGGTGTTATTCAGCATTGAGGGGGGGAATTGGGGGTTGGGTGGTGGTCCCACGTTTTTTTTGTTTGTTTTTTTGCGTGGGTGCTGACCAGCAGCAGACCGGTAGGTGCCGACGGGTGAAACGGTCAGCTCATCGATCGCCGGCCAATCGAAGGGCACCAACCAACCGTTGCCGTAACTACGCTGCTTTCAAAACATCAGAAACAAAGGCCTATTCCAGAGAGAACTGTTCACGGAACCAGTATAGACATCATCATTTGGACTATCCACACAGATTTGGAGATGACGAAGTCACAATCCTTGATCGACGGCGGAGCAATCATCGATATTAGTTATCAACAAGCTCTCGACCGACAAAATTGATCGACATCTGACGGTGTGGAGCGCTCGCTTAGCTAACAGAAAAACCCACACACACATCATAATAGAGGTTTCTTGCCTTCAGAGTCTTTTTCCAGGCAGACCAGACAGAGAAGGAAAAGGGAGAAGATTCTAAGTCCCGAAACGTTATCAGGCAAGGAAGGAAACGAACGTGGTCAGCAAGACAAGCACATCACAGAGGTCTGTTGCATCTTGGTGTCCATTCAGAACAGATGAAGAAGGAAAAGATTCAAAAGAGGGAGGATTTCAAATTCTGGAGATATTTTCAGACACTGAAAAGAAAATGAATGTGGCAGGTGTATGAGCAATACCCACAGCATTGAATTGATCTCATCTCCCCGGAGAAATAAGCACACACCATTGTGTCCATCCAGAACAGATGAAGAAGGAAAAGATTCAAAAGAGGGAGGATTTCAAATTCTGGAGATAATTTTCAGACACTGAAAAGAAAATGAATGTGGCAGGTCACAGGTGTATGAGCAATACTCGCAGCATTGAATTGATCTCATCTCCCCGGAGAAATAAGCAGAGACGCCAATTTTTTTTTTTGCAACTTTGCGTCCATGCCCGACAGACGAAGAAGGAAACGAAAACGACTTTGCAGTCCGGAGACATTTTCCGACACTGAAGGAAAATGAATCACACTGGGACTGCGACCAGATGCATACACGTCTTGCCGTAAATGTGGTCAGATACATGAAAGAGAATGTGGCAGCTGTATGAGCAACCACTCACAGCATTGAATGAATCTCCCCCAAGAAATAAGCAAGACCCCATTTCTTGCACCTTTGCATCCATTCGCTACAGATGAAGAAGGAAACGAAAGAGGACTTCGCAGTCTGGAGACATTTTCAGACAATGAAGGAAAATGAATGTGCAGGTGTATGAGCAATACTCACAGCATTGAATTGATCTCCCCCAAGAAATATGCAGACGCCACGGCTGCGCCAATCCCAATTATCTGTAGTTTTGCCCCAGAGGAGAAAATCAGGAAAGCCTCCAGGAGCCTGCAAGAAAGCAAAATCATGTATTCTGAAGGTTACACCAGAACCAAAATGGATACCAAGCATCAAGAAAGCATGACCGTTGTCACCAGAATAGAACATACCATCATTTTCGCTGCATCTGGACTGAAATTTTGGCCAAATACGGATAGAATGACCGTTCGTGTTCGTTCTATTTGGGGAAAAGACGATACCCATGCTCCATCAAAAACAAGCATGAAAAAAAGAAAAAAAAAACAGGTGCCTAAATTTCCACATAGCATTACTGATTACCCTCATACTAACTTTCATGACATGACCCC